GGGCAAGCCTTCACCTGCTAACATTTTGACCCACCCTGCCCTGCCCCATTTAACATTTTTCCAGATTTTTGCCATGCCTCGCCCTGCCCCGTTTATGTTTTTTTTTAAAATTAATTTTTCTTTATTTTTTCTTTTCCAGTATTCTAAAATAATTTTTTAACATTTTCAATGTTTTATTTGAACCTTATATAATTAAAGAACCAATTTGAACCAATGGCAGCAAAAACAATAAACACAATTTGTTACAATTTGAAAATTTTCTTCACGTAAAAATTATACCATTCAATTCATCATTTCACTAGTAACAATATCAAGAATTTAACAAGCAATCTAACTGGACGTTATAATTACTATATTCAAAGTCAAATCCACAAAAAAAAATGATAACGGAAAGTAGAGATAGAAGTGATACTGGATTATTCAATCAAAATGTCAAATAGATTAATAAAGCAACTTTCAGATATTCCAAAATAAAGTTTGCCGTGGCCCTGCCTGCTCTAACCCATTATTTTTTTAATTTTTTTTTAACCGTACCATGTCCCACCCCGCCCCATCTAAATCTTCCTTTGTCCTGCCCCATTTAGTGTTTGCCCTGCCCCACCCTGCACTGTCCCAATTGCCATCCCTAGGTATACCTTGTAGTCTCCACAGCAACTCGCAATCAGCTATCTAACAACTGGCACGCTCCGAGGTACCTGGATCTGCACAAAAATGCGCAGCAAGCGTAGCATGAGTACACTACAGCGGTACCCAGTAAGTATCGAGACTAACTTCAGTAGAGTAGTGACGAGATACAGTCAAGATACCTACTAGACATAATAACATGTGCAAAATACTTATATAATGCTGAGAGAGGAACAAATATCAGTAAAAAGCTAAGCATAAACTAAGAATAACAGTATAATGCTAGCAAAGGACGAGAGAAACAACAAATAGCAACAAGGAGCAAACAAGTGATAACACAACAAGTACTCGGAACACAATTAAAGTACTGGTAAAACATATTGAGGAAAACAAACGACAACCAGATAAACAAGGTTTACACTAGAATCGCTCCGAGGTAACACACTTCATAATCACAAATCTCGGGTCCAAAATCATGAATCATAAACACCTGGCACCTCGTGCCCACATTACCAATCACAACCGCACGAACAACTCACGTGCCAATTCTATTATTATCTCAGATTGGATTACCAACGGTTCTTACGCAAGGCCAAATCAATACTCAACAATAGCTTTTTCTTTACAATTCACCTCCGCTCGGCTCAAAGCTAACCAAAATCGACTTGATAACATAAAAAATGCAAGAGAAACCAATTCCAATAAGTAAAGCTATAATCTTTATACAATTCCCAAAAAGTCAACAAAAGTCAATCTTAGGCCCGCCCGATCAAAACTCGGGTCCAAGGATAGGTCTTGACTAACCATAACTCTACGAGTCTATATATGTATTTTATTTTCAAATCCGAGTCCAAATCGACTCTCAAAACCTAAATTTTTATTTTATTTTCAAAACTTGACAAAAATCCCCAAATTTCACTTTGATTCTCATAAATTTGATGTTAATCTCATACATAATCATGAAATATAGTTGAAATTTGATTAAAACTACTTACCCAATGATTGTAGGTCAAAATTCCCTTTCCAAGTCGCCACCTACCTAGTCTAGGGTTCAAAGATATGAAAATGAGACTAAAATCCATCTTTCAGCCTTTATGTTCAGGCACAGGTGTCGCAAATGTGACCTGGGGTTCGCAATTGCGAACCGTGCAAATGCGAAGAATGATTGCAAAAGAGACACTCGTTACACCCCTGCTAATGTCCCAAATGCGACAATAAGTTCGCAAATGCGAACATTGAACATATCGCAAAAGCGACCATGATGATCGCAAATGCGACCCAGCCTAGCCTAGATCTCCATTGCAAAAGCGAACATTGTGTTCGCAAATGCGAACCTGACAGACCCCAGTGATCTTCGCAAATGCGACTCCCACCTCGCAAATGAGTCTCGCAATTGCGAGACCTACAGCACCAGTTCAAAAACCAGTAAAACTAAAACTCTTAAAACATTCTGAAACGCGTCTGAAACTCACCCGAGCCCTCGGGGCTCCAAACCAAACATTCATACAAGTCTGAAAACATCATACGAACTCGATTGCGTGATCAAAATACCAAAATAACATCTAAAACCACGATTGGACATAAAAAATGCATGAAATTTATATTGAAACTTAAGAACTTTTAAAAACACAACCACGGATCCGATTCCTATCAAATCAACTCGAAATAACGCCAAACTTTGCAAACAAGTTTCAAATAATAAAACGAACCTATTTCAAGTCCCAAAATCAAAATTCGAACCCGATAGCCATAAAGTCAAACCATAACGAAACCTACAAAAATTTCTAAACCTTCAAATTGATAACTTTTGGCAAAATAAGTCAAATCAACTTAGGAACCTCTGAATTCGATTCTGGAAATATGCCCAAGTTCAAAATTATTAAACAAACCTATCGAAGCCATCGAAACACCATTCTGGGAATATTTTTACAAAAGTCAAACCTCGGTCAATATTTCCAACTTAAGCTTCTAAAATGAGAATCACCCATCCCAATGAATCCCAAAACATCCGAAAATCGAATTCGGCCATACACGCAAGTCATAATATACAATATGAAGCCGCTCAAGACCTCGAACCACCGACTGGAATGCTAAAGCTCAAAATAACCGGTCGGGTTGTTATAATTTTATACCGACTTAATAAAATTAGTCTCTAATCCATTAAATGTGCTTATACTCTTAATCATGATATAATTATTATTAGTTGTATATATTATTTATTATTTTTATTTATTAAAATGCGAGATTCTTTTGTGGGTCAGTATGACTGATAAATTGAATAATGATGATATACATTGACGAAGTAATAGTTAGTTGATGGAATCCATGTCTCGCTCTAGAGATTGGTGATACACCTTTATGAAAGCTTATAATTTTTCATGTGTAAACCTTCCGGTGGATTTTGTATCCGTCACATGAAATAATTTAAGTGAAAGTCTAAAGAAAATAATCAAGCAATTAAATTGTCAGTAATTTAATTTATTGATTAGTATCTGAATCATAACATGGGGAGTTAAATAAGGTTTAATGGAAGAATTTTAAAATTAAACCGAGGAGTGCAATTACGAATTTTTAGTGGAATAACTCATAATTTATTATGGTAGTATTACTTCGAATATTCCGAATTAAGTACATAATA